CCTCATCCTGCTCCATCACTGCTGCTGGGAGGGCTCTTGGTTGCTGTCTGTGCAAAGGCAATCCCTCCTGTCCTTCCTCAAGCTGGTGGCATCACTGTATGCCAGCATCTCCCTGCTGCCATCACAGGTGCCAGTCACTAAGGGATCCTGCTGGAGATGGGACCTGTATGGCCATGAGCACAGGTGTCTACTTCAGGTTGAAATTCCCTCAATTCAGCTTTTTCATTTTCACCTTTGACACTTCCACAGCCTGGAAACTCCTGCATAGTTGGGAAAGAATTTCTTATGCCATTAGTTGCCTTGGTCCCAAAGTCCTTCTGGCCCCCATGTCCTGTCTCTCAAAGAGGCTTTCTGTGGAAGTCATTCTTGAATCTTTCACTTGTCACTGGGATTCAGCCCTGTGTTCTGGGATTTGGCTTGGAGGATGGAGGAGAGAAGGATCATCTGTCTTCTACCCAGTGGAAGGCATTCAGTACCGTAAATCTGCCCACCCCTTTGATTAGTATGCCGTCCTTCTTAAGTCAAGCCTGTGTGTCTGACCCTCTCCTCAGGATGAATACCTTTTTAGAATCCTTCATCTGCCATTCAAAACTATTCCTGAAAAACCACCTCCAGTGAATCAGTGCTGCCACTTCCCATCCTCGTAAAGGCCAAACTAACCTTCCTGTAAACCCCACACTTAAAAAGATCTAAGATCCCAAGTCCCAATTTCATCAGCCTTTCTTTGAAAGGAGGGCTGCCTAGCATGGTGCAGTGATCACCAGTGGCTCCTGGCCATCAGGGTACTGTTTTGTTTATTTGTTTGTTTTGAGACAGAGTCTTTTTTTTTTTTCGAGATGGAGTTTCGCTCTTGTTTACCGAGGCTGGAGTGCAATGGCGCAATCTCGGCTCACCACAACCTCCACCTCCTGGGTTCAGGCAATTCTCCTGCCTCAGCCTCATGAGTAGCTGGGATTACAGGCATGCGCCACCATGCCCAGCTAAGTTTTTGTATTTTTAATAGAGACGGGGTTTCACCATGCTGACCAGGATGGTCTCAATCTCTTGACCTTGTGATCCACACACCTTGGCCTCCCAAAGTGCTGGGATTACAGGCGTGAGCCACTGCACCTGGCCTAGTGTTCCATTCTTAAAACAGACCTTACATCCAACCGAGACCAAGCCCTTGAGGTGTTCTCTACCATCTCTGAATGTCATGATGTCACTTTAGTGACTTTTCCAGCTTCCTAGAGAACATTTATCATCAATTCCAGCTAAGTAACATAGTACTGAATAGTTCGATTCTGGGCAGGTGATCTGTTGCATAAATCCGAATTAAGCCACTGAACAGACTATGCAAAAAACAAAAATGGTGTTGGATACTTACATGTATTTGTTGTGATTTTTTTTTTCTATGTCTATAAGGTGGTGAAATCACTGAAGCAAAACCGTGATGAAAGCTATTCACAATTTAGCATTTACCACCATATGGAAATGTCAGTTCCATCTAGCAAAGAGCATATTACCGACATGTTCAATATAAAATGCAAATATAATAGCTTAGTGGGTTGGATATGTCAGCTGTGTTTCACTTAAACGTATTACCTTGGCAGATTAAATATAGTTACAAATCTTTCACAAGGAGGATATTCTGATGAAGTTACAGCTGATACCAGCCTTTGTGGATCCTCAGTTCAATTGGCTGTGAGTAAAATGAAGACAAAAATGGGTGAAGAATTGAGAGTGAGTGGGACACGGCCATGGAGAAATAGCCTCTGCCTGTGGCCTCCTGGCCTTCCAAGCCCCACTAAGAAATATTGTTCTTTGCTGAATCATGAGCAATTCATAGCAAAGATTTATCTCTTACCTGATGAAGTAGTTGAAAGACCACCCATCCCACCAGGCCTCCATAACCACTTCAAAATGTTTATATCTCCTTATATAACCCAACTTGGCTAAGCTGAGGTGGCCCAGCCTGAACTGCACCACTAGCTCCAATCTTGGTCCTTCTGTAGCCATCTGGACCACTCAGCTCTCCTGGCTGACCTGCACAGTGGCAGACCCTGCTCATGTAACTGCACACTCCAGCCTCTGACCTCCTCTTCACAGTCAGGCCCCACTAAGCACATGGTGATTTGTCTTGCTGTTGCCACATCCTGATGGTTATAACTTCTTGCCCAAATGCTACGTGATTCATTATTCCACGGCACTGCCCAGTTTCTGCAAGGGCTTTCCCAGGACTGCACCGTCTTACCCGCTTCCCCATACCTCCACACTGACGACAAGGTTGCTGGCACCTTGAAACAGCCCGTGTTAAGCCTGTACTCCACTTGTTAAGATAGGCTTGGTGGAAATTAACCAGCATCATCCAGTTTGTCCAGCACAGCTTTCTTGTCCCGTTATTGCACGATCAGTTACAAGCTTTAGGGTTTATATATCCAGCAGTGTTTCCCTGTGGACTTTTCCAACGGAACGTCTTGCAAATTGCTACAGAGAACCGAAGAAATAATGGATCCCTTTTAAAAGTAGCATTCCTTCTGTAGCTCCTGTGATCCATTTTGTTTTGTCTTACATTAATATGCTGTGAATATTTTCTGTTCATAGCTACTTATATGTATAGTCAAGAGGCATGAAAAAATCACATTCATTGGTTTCTGCTTTAAAAAATTTTACCTGGGTGATGTAACACCAAGTCTTTCTGCCAAAAAAGACACAAACCCAAACCCACGGAGCGATGGTTACCAGGCTACTGGGGTGGGGATGCGGGTTGCAGACAGTTAATCATTATAGAAGGAGGATCTCGAGTGGAAACCTAGGTACACAGACCCTTACTGTGTAATTGTAAACTGGGCTTCAGGGTGCTAGGTTCTCCTGATCCTGCCGTAACTACCTTTGTGATACTTGTGCTGGTTGGACCCCATTCAGCCTTCTTTCTCCTCTGTAAAGTAAGGAAGTTGACCTAGAGCAAGTCTCTTCAACTCCATTCTTCCATGTTTCTATGAATATGCACAGAAAGTCAGATGGCTAGTTAGGAATCCAGAGGATGCTACCAACAGCAACAGTTACCAACTTTCTGCTGGATTTAGAACTCAGCACTTGATAGATGTCATCTCATTTAAGCCTCACAGTTATTCCAAGAGGTTGGTATTATGGTCCCGTTTCATACAAGAGAGAACAGTTCCCCAGGAGGTCAATCACTGTTTAGGATCTCAGTGCTAATAAATTAGAGAGCCGAGATTCCCGTCCTCATGGAACTAACTCCAAACACACTTTTAATCAGACATGGGAAGAAGTTCCCAGCTCTCCTTTTATTACTCTCAGTGTCTGAATCTCATTGTGCTTCCCCTCTCTGTTGACTCTGCATGCCTGAGTGACCCCCGTTCCTGACATCTAAAACACACATACCTCTGTGCCTTTGGTTAGTGTGAATAGGGTAACAGTGCATTTTAGAATTCTGTATATATTCTTTGCAACAAGATGGGACTCAATAAGCAAAAAGTAAAAAATGAGTTTCTAGGCAGCTGCTTGCCATGTGAAGTGTCAGTGAAGGTATGACTCAAAAAGGGCAAAATTTAGCTCGGAAGAATAACTTTTATGACACATGCATAGTCCTCTGTATATGGGCACAGGTGCCTAATGTAAGTCATCTGTAATTTTGCCAAGGCTAACTTTAAATCATAAACATGGGGGGTTGGCAGTGGGAGATTCTCCAGCTTCCAGTGGGGTCTCATCAATTGCCTAGTCTTTGCCTCTCCTGGCAGCAAACCAGTTTTGTTTCTTTGAGAAAACTGCACCACCCCATTTCCAACAGCTAGACCACTTCTGGTGGGTGGCAATTATTTATACAGAAAGTTCTAAGAAAGCACAGATGAACTTTGCCAGAAAGTAGACATTTTGTACAATGTAAAGAATGGACTTCAAAGTCAGAATTGCCTTGTGAGTTTGATGATCCTATTCTCTATTTGGAAATAAGCAAAAGCTCTACTCTTTCATCAATATAACCTGATGGTTTATACTACCTCATTATGCACAGTCAATCCTCATTATTCACAGATTCTGTATTTGCAAATTTACCTACTCAGTGAAATTTAGTTGTAACTTCAAAATCAATACTTGCAGCACTTTTGTTATTCACAACACGTGTAGAGAGGTGAAAACATCAAGTCACCCAACGTGCATGTTCCCAGCTGAGGTCAAATAAAGGTCTGCCTTCTGTTTTGGCTCTCATACTGTAAACAAGAGTTCTTTTCACAATGCCATGTTGTTCACATTTTCTGCTTTTATTCTGGTGATTTTGTTGTTTAAAAATACCCTGCAGTGCTGGGCTCAGTGGCTCACACCTGTAATCCCAGGACTTTGGGAGGCCAAGGCAGGCAGATAACTTGAAGTTAGGAGTTCGAGACCAGCCTGGCGAACACTGTGAAACCCCATCTCTACCAAAAATACAAAAATTAGCCAGACGCAGTGGTGTGTGCCTGTCATCCCAGCTACTCAGGAGGCTGAGGCAGGCAAATCGCTCGAACCCAGAAGGCAAAGGTTGCAGTGAGCTGAAATGGCACTGCTGCACTCCAGCCTGGGTGACAGAGTGAGACGTTGTTCCCCGCCCCCCAAAAAAAGAAAGTAAGTAAAAAAGAAAAGACCCTGCAAGCATGGTACCAAAGTACTATCTAGAGTTCCTAAGTGCAAGAAGGCTGTGATGTGCCTTACAAAGAAAACACAAGTGTAAATTAAGCTTCATTCGGGCATGAGTTCCGCTGTTATTGGCCGTGAGTTCAATGTTAATGAAGTGACTATATATATAGTTATAGTGTCATATATATAATGTATATAGTTATAGTGTTTTATATATATATTATATGTATAATAAGGTGTACTTAAACAGAAAAACACATAAAACAAGGCTATGTATTGATTAATTGACGAAAACATTGTGACCAGAGGCTTGCAGGAACCTAACTATCTATTTCCCCTAGGAGCGATCACTAATTCAGTGCCTGTGGCAACTTTACAGAGCATAACTATTGCAAATAACAAGAATCAGTGCATTTCCAAATGTAGACATTGCTCATAATATCTTGAGATATTTTTTGGGACTGCCAGGGGGGTCTGGTACTACTGATCTCATGCCATTTTCGGCTTTGTGGAAAATGGGAACTTACAAAACCATCCCCATTCCTTCTTCTGTGATGAGCAGATTTTCGCTGTTCAACTCCACCAGGTACTAATTGAGTACCCCAGAATCTACTGCTGCTGGAAGATAGGCAAAGAATCAGTCCCTGACCTCAAGAGCTTTCACCTGTGTTGGAATGACTGGGCTTAGGGTGCAAACATACCCAGGTCAAACGGAAAGTGGAAACATCTTAGAAATGGCAGAGAGAAGAACAAACTCTCTGAGGCATAACATAGGGAAGCAGGCCATTTTTCTAACAGTAACCTTTAACTGTTAATTTAGTGTTTCCTCCCAGGAACTCTGCAAAGGAAGTTCAGCCTTAGCCAAAGCTTCTAATTAACTCCAAAGTTTCTACCACATCAGCAAACACCTAAAGACCACCCCAGTGTTTGTCTCTCGCCTGACAGAAGTCAAAAAACTGATATAGGTGAGAATTGCCCAATAGGAAATCCTTTTTTCTCTATGGGAAATGGTCGCTGTATTTCCCTCAGCTTGATTATTTTGGAGGCCTGTAATCTTACAGCTGGAAAAATACTATTTATGGTACTTGGAATAAAAATTGTAACGTTAATTAATTAAGCATCCAATTTATGTCAGGATCTGTGCTGGGTGCTGGGAACACGGAGATGAAAGGCACAGTCTCTGCCTGTGCGTCTTGTGGTCAATTGGGAAAACTTGGTCATTGCAAAAGTGAAGTCATGTCGTGGGAGAGGGAAGCTGGAAATGGGGGTTGCAGCAGCACGTACCCAGCATGGAAGGGTTCAGTGGGAGGTGAGATGCTTCTTGCTGTAACGGTCTTGAAAGGGGAGGAGGAGTTGGTCAAATGAAGGAAGCTGAGTTGAATGTTCCAGGAAGCAGGAACCTCATATGGAACCCTACAGGCATGAAAGAGTTATGGGGCATTTCATGACCTAGAAGCAGAGCATGGAAAATGGATGAGTTAGAAGAGAGCAGGCAAGGGAGAGGCATCACCCAGGTCATGAACAGCCTGGAAGGACATGTAGGAAGTTGGGATCCTCAGAAGGATCTCACAGAGGCAAGCAAGATCATCAATTTGCACTTTCTGTAGGTCAATTAGACAGAACAGAGAATGCATTGTGGTCTGGGTGTAGCTGAGAATGAAAACAGTTACTAGGGAAATAAACCAAGAGAAGAGCAGCAAGAATACAGTAAAAGAGAGAGAGGTTAGAGAGAAGTTGGGAAAGAATTGAGAGAATTTGAAGGTAAGCTGAGAGAGAGAGAAGAGTGTGAAGGGAGGCAGGTTTGGGGATGATTTGGAGTGCCCTGAATTGGAGGGCCCTGGAGCATCCCAAGGAGGTTACATCAGGGAGCCAGAGATCCCGGTTGAGTTCAGGAGAGTGGTTTGGGAAGAGATGGTAATTGATGATCAGTCTGTAGATGATCATTCAATCCAAGGCTTTACATTACACAAAGCAAAATGTTTACAGTTAAGACAGAAGATGGCCGGGCACAGTGGGTCACGTCTGTAATCCCACCACTTTGGGAGGCTAAGGCAGGTGGATCACCTCAGGTCAGGAGTTCAAGACTAGCCTGGCCAACATGGTGAAACCCTGTCTCTACTAAAAATACAAAAATTAGCTGTGCATGCCTGTAATCCCAGCTACTCAGAAGGCTGAGGCAAAAGAAGCACTCGAACCCAGTAGGCAGAGGTTGCAGTAAGCCAAGATTATGTCACTGCACTCCAGGCTGAGCAACAGTGTGAGACACCATCTCAAAAAAAAAAAAAATAAGAATGGAAGATGGCCACAGAAACCCTCTTCAGAAACATTAATATTTAAAGCATGAGTAAAGGAAGATAAATCTGACATGAAGCTAGAGAGGAGGTAGCCAGAAGTGAAGAAGGAATAGAATGATGCCAGGTGTGACAGAGGAGACGTCACAGAGGAGGGCATGGTCACTGAGTACAATGATGCTGGGAGGAAGGCACAGTGTAATTGGTTGTTAATGACCTAATGTAGTCTTAATGGGAAAGTAGGAATGAAAGCAGGTAGTCCTGGATAGAGATGCAAAGTGGGGTGAAAAAGTAAAAACAGTACAAATGTAGACGAGCTTGTTGAATAAACTTGACTTTTAAGGAAAGGAGAAACAGATAGAGGGGAATGGGAAGTTAAGGAGGGCTTCTGCCTTTGCCAGTGGAAGTTAGCAGTGGTTCTTCCTCGCTGACAGGATACAGGGAGCATTTTCAAAGTGCACATAACTACAAATAACACAGGCTATGAGATAAAAGCTCATGGTGAGGAAGTGAGTGGGGGATGAACATGGATCAAGAATCAAGGACTGGGCTGGTCACAGTGGCTCACGCCTGTAATCCCAGCACTTTGGGAGGCTGAGGTGGGAAAATTGTTCAAGGCCAGGAGTTCAGTACCAGCCCAAGCTACAAAGCAAGACCCTGTTCTATTAAAAAAAAAAAATGGCTGCATATGGTGGCTCATGCCCATAATTCCAGCACTTTGGGAGGCCAAGGGAGGAGGATTGCTTGAGGACAGGAGTTTCAGACCAGAGTGGACAACATGACGAAACCCCATCTCTTAAAAAAAAAAATTAGCTGGGTGTGGTGGTATGCACGTGTAGTCCCAGCTACTTACGAGGCTGAGGTGAGAGGATTACCTGAGCCAAGGAGAATCAGGCTGCAGTGAGCTGTGACCACTCCCTGCCACTGCAACCTGGATAACACAGTAAGACCCTATCTCTAAAGAGGTTTTTTGGTTTTGTTTTTTAAAAAGAATCAGGGGAGCTTTGGGTCAGGGGTTCTAAAGAGGATTTTTTATAAGAACCTATGAAAAATACTAAAATGGCACCAGATTAAGACCCAGAAGACCTGTGACTGTCTCTTATTAGCTTTCAACCTTAGGCAAGTCCTTCTCTGTGAGCCTGAGTACCCTCATCTGTAAAGTCAGCTAAAGACTGTCTGTCTCGCCTGTATCCCTGGTTGTAGTGAGAATTAAACAGGGTAATATGTGTGAAGAGCACCGTGGAAATTGGAAAGCCCCGCACGATTGTGAGGTGTCGTCGTGAGAGAAGAGGAGCCTTCTTGCTGCCTTCGCCTTTGGCTGAAGTGCCTTTTCCTGTTGAAGTTATCTCAGGCACCGTGTGGCTTCTTCCAGACTACAGGCGGGTTCTCTCTCTTCTGGGGATTTCTATCTTTTTTTCTTACTCACTTGAGATGAAGAGTGCTGTGGATAGGTAAGAACAACATTTTTTAAAAACAAAAAAAAAAATGTAATCACGAATTGTTTTTAAAATGGAGGTAGATCGGCATAAAACTTATGTGAATCCATTTCTTTTTAGATATTTCATCTTTCCAATTATGACCCTTACAGGGGGAAAATCCCTTGGTAGAGATCTCTACTTAATTTTTTTTTTAAAGATGGACGGGTGCAGTGGCACACACCTGTAATCCCAGCACTTTGGGAGGCCGAGGCGGGTGGATCACGAGGTCAGGAGTTCAAGACCAGCCTGGCCCACATGGTGAAACCCCATCTCTACTAAAAATACAAAAATTAGCCAGGTGCAGTGGTGGGCACCTATAATTCCAGCCTCTCAGGGACCTGAGGCAGAGAATTGCTTGAATCCGGGAGGCAGAGGTTGGAGTGAGTAGAGATCATGCCACTGCACACTCCAGCCTGGGTGACAGAATGAGACTCTGTCTCAGAAAAAAAAAGGATGGAGTCTTGCTCTGTTGCCCAGGCTGGAGTGCAGTGGGATGATCTCAGTTGACTGCAACCTCTGCCTCCCAGGCTCAAGGAATTCTCATGCTTCGGGCTCCCAAGTTGCTAGGATTATAGGCACGTGCCGCCATGCCCAGATAATTTTCTGTAGAGTTGGGGTTTTCCTGTGTTGGCCAGGCTGATCTCCAACTCCTGACCTCAAACAATCCGCCTTCCTTGGCCTTGCAAAGTGCTGGGATTACAGGCATGAGCCACTGCGCCTGGCCAGCGATCACTTCTTTGAAGAAAGATGGCATTACATCATGCCTGCTAAGATGATAGTGACCTTAGGGAAAGCAGGCCACACAGACATCCATTCTCTTCCTCTCTTGCTTGTTTTAAATGAGCGTTTACCTCCTAGTCCAGCGAAACACACACTCCCTTGATGTTTGCCATGTCCTTTATGAAACAGAATAAAAGCCCAAACACCTGTGCTGGGAGCTTTAGACTAACACAAAGACTGTAAAGGCACGTTTGGAGGCTAAGACTCTCTTTGCAAATATGTTTTACTTAACCCATAGATGGTTTTAAAAAGATTGATATATTTGGGCCAGGCACAATGGTTCATGCCTGTAATCCCAGCACTTTGGGAAGTCTAGATGGGCAGATTGCTTAAACCCAGGAGTTCAAGACTAGCCTGGGAAACATGGTGAAACCCTGCGGCTACAAAATGTACAAAAAATACAAAAATTTGCCGGACATGGTGGTGCATGCCTATAGTTCCAGCCACTCTGGAGGATGAGGTGGGAGGATTGCTTGACCCGGGAGGTCGAGGCTACAGGGAGCCATGATCATGCCACTGCATTCCAGCATGGGCAGCAGAACGACATGCTATCTCAAAAAAAAATTGATGTATTTGATATTTACACATACCAATCTCTACCACCTCTTGGAACAGTGGAAGATCAAGCAACACGTGGCAGAGATTTTGTTCCCCCAAACATCAGGTGACCAGAGCTGAGTGGCTCTCCTCTCCGTTTTGTCCCAAGCTTCACTCCTACTCGTCACCTCTTCAGGATGGTGTGCACAGGGCCCTGGAGATTTCAGAGTGTATGGCCCCTGGTTTAAAGCCGAATCAGTGAAGTACAGTGCAAAGAAAAAAGCTTGTTTCTGAGGATAGAATGGTGAAAATAAAGAAAACGTAGGTAAACATTTCCCAGCTTCAATACTGGGGCTGGGATGCCTGATTTTCAGCTCTTAGACAGCATCGTCTGCTTTAGGATGGGATTCTCTAAAACTGGACATCAAATCTTTTTTTCTGTGTGACTCTTTTTAGAAACACAGAGAAATAGAAATTAAAATAAAAGCAAGGACTATCTTTGGGGAAAGCCTAATGCACAGCCCAAAAGAAAAATTTATATTACTTCAAAAGCTGAGGCAATTGGCCAACAAAGTCCAGAAGGTACTTCCTTCTCCCACAAGGTCAAGAAACTTTGATAACCTTGCCCCAGTGGAGAGACATCTGGTAGACCACAGTTCTCTTTTACAAGTAGGAAGATAAAGTTCATTCTCGGTATTAACACAAACACACTGGTCATGGCCGGGCTGTGCCACACAGAAAGAATATTCCCAAAGCAATGCATTCTTTGGCTGTTGTCAAGTGGTCTGCTGTCTGTGGAATTTCCTATTCTCCAGCCCCAGAGCAGAAAGCAATCCCCGCCCGCCTGGCTTTGGCCGTCATGAGGTTTAAAGAGGATCATTTGTTTTCATTACAGCCCCTTGAAACCCTTCCTTCCCTCCTCATTAATGAATTTCCAGTCTTTCATCAAAAAACAAAAACAAAAAAACAAACACAAAAAAGGATCTGACAGAGGACACAGTTAAGTGGCGGGCGCGCATGGCTGTGCCGGCTTTAGAGAGAGGAGACGGCCATTTACTGATTGTGAGGAGGGGTTGACATCCTTGGTTAGTATGCTAATTTCATCTCCTGCATTTAACATTCAGATCAGGTCTGTACAGGCCCTCCACAGCCACAGAGTCCAGGGATGGGTGGCTGTCTGCCTTGCAGCATTGAACATTCACTGTGTGAATTACATAAACACCCAAACATTCTGCCTGTTCCAACATTGCTCCCTTTCCTTCCCTCTCGGAGAGACACATAGACCCGGAGCCACACTCATGCGAGCATACATTCCCCGTGATGCCATCACACGCACACACACAGTGCAGACACGGGTCCCTGTGAATGCCAGACACATGCAATGGAAAGGTGCCCAAGTCATCCACAATTGGCTCGTTTCCTCATTTGGTCTCTGCAGCTCTCTTCTGCAAGATCTATTTCTCCTTGCTCAGGAAACTTGGGATGCTATTGAGGAGTCCTAAATAAGGAAGCGATATGAAATTAAAACCTCCTTCAGAAAAGGAGGAGGATATCTTAAAAGAGTGACCTTCCAGTCCCAGAAATCCTTAAAGAGCCTCAGTTCCATTCATGGGAAGGAGAACCATATAGCTCAGTTCACTGAACACCCAGAAAGAAAGAAAACCCAGCTCATTTTATGACTTTGGGTCCCTACTTTGTCATGTGTTTGGAATACTGTATTAAAAGCGTTCTATTTATGGGTGGTTTGGGACTCACCAAGCCACAGCTAGGTGACAACAGAAGAGGAATCCCAAACGGGCACCCCCATGGCCGTCCAAATGGCAGACGATCGCCTGGCACGTTTGCCAGAAACCCAACCAATGGAAAACGGAATTTCCTCAACCTCCTTCTTCCAATGTATTTCCCTAACCTTGCAGCAGCTTCTGGAGACAAACAGAGAATCAGCAGCTCCTACTATCAGAAGGCACATTTGGGGCTTGCTTTTAATAAACTGAAGCGGGAGCCTCCCATAAAAAGGAAAGGACACAGGTTGGTTTTTATTGTTTTGGTTTGGTCTGGTCTAGTTTTGGGGTTTTCTTTTTTCTCTCTCTCTCAGTGTATGACATCACTGTGTACCCTGGCATGCCGTGGTTTTTTCCTCTGGACTCGGGTGGCTCCTAATTTTGTCCCCTTGTGCCCACATAATATTCCATATTTGGCTAAGGAACATCCGGCAATTCCTGTCGGAGCTTCCCACCACGGCGACGGGTGTTTTCTCCGAGCTGCAGACTTGATTTGCCTCGATTTTTTTTTTCTTTGGCTCTGGTCCAAGATGTTTTCCTGTCATCATTTCACTGTCTTTTCCAGTAATCCCTTTCTTAAACATTGCCAACAATTAGTCGATATATCTCTACCACCACCACTGCCCCCCACCCCCATAACCACGCAAACACACCCTCCACTGAACCCATCACTGTCTCCTCTTCCCTTGAAGTATAAGAAATTACAGCTTCTCATTAGCCGGAGAGCACGATTGGAACGGCTCTGTGTTTACTCACTTAGTAAGTGATGCTGGCCTTTTTAATTATTCTCCCTCCGCGTGCCATCAGAGAGCAGCAAGCTGTTCAAGTCAAACCAAACGACTGCACATCCTCCGCAAGGCAGTTGGAAGTAATCGTGTTTTACCTCACCGCTGCTGCTGTCTTCCTTGCCTGTCAGCAAGCCAAGGAATCCCCCCAAAGCTCTTACGTAGGAGATACCAAAACTGTGAGTCACTTTTCACTCCCAGAGCAGAGAAAGTCCACTGCGTCCTGCACGTAAGAGCAGACCCAAGATGGGGGCTTCCTCCAAGCCATCGAGATTCCCTGGGACCAGATGTCCGGTCATCGATGGCTTTTTTCTTGCTGTTGCTCCCTCTTTCTCTTCCACCCTTGTCCATTGCTTGGTTTTGAGACGCTTTTCTCTTTTTCTCTTCCTTTCTGTGATGCCGACAGCCGCAGACCCAGCAAGAGCTGGGTCCCTCTCGCCTTCTGTTATTTTTTTTCCCCCTGCAGCAGGCTTTGGCTGCTACCTCTGCAAGCTGGATCACCAAAGACACACGACTCACTCACAATGAATAATCAATACGGATATTGATCTGGGGAAAATGTTTGTAAATTCCTGAAAGGGAATCAGGAGCAGGGGCAGGGAGGCTCGTGGAGGACGACACTGCAGTGCTCCACGGCTGGAGGAGGCAGAACCGTGTCTGGATCCCAGGTCTTGCTGGCTCCGAGGTGACGGGTACCGGAATGCGTGCGAACCAGGGTGTGCGCGTGTGAGGAGGGGGTCCTGTATTCTCATTTCTCTACAGCTGCTTTCCCCGAAGAATCAAGAGCCAAATGGTCGGGGAGCTCCCGTCAGCGCCATGTCTTGGCTGCGGGCCAGCACTGTTTTGTTTTCATTATCACACGCTACTTTGCAATTTGCATAAATACAGGGTTATTTTTTATCGTGTCGCCCAAAAGATAGAGAGAAAAAAAATAGAAGTCTTTGTTGTGTGCAAGAGGGGCTTGCTGCCTACTCATCGAGGCTAAGGATTTACCTCCAAGGCAGAGCCTATGTAGAGAGCTCCAGAAGAAATACGCAAAGAAGTGGTAATCACAGAGAGAAAAGAATACAGGGGACAAAGAATGGAATTTGACGAGAACTGAAGGGCACTCGGCGTGGTGAAACCCAATATTAGGGATACATTTGCTTCTTGGAGAAGTGGCGTAGACTTAGACAAGCAAAGTAGAGATAAGGACCACCAGGATCTAACCCGGGTCCCTGTTAGACACATTTCACGCTCTCAGCTGGAATGAACTATTGATCCCTGGTGGAAAAGATATGCAGGGCAAAGCACACAAACTTGCCTTGCCACCTCCTTGCCGCTTCCAAAACATAGAAAGGGTGAACACAAATAGATAGAGCGTTCCCTCTCCGCTGCTAGGCGCTGATGGTTTTCCAGCAGGTGAGAGGTTTTAAATCTGGTCTTTTTCCCTCACTTGCCCTACACCTTGAGCAGTTCAGGTAAGCCTCCTGAATTGCACTTACCCTAGCATTGAATGGGATTTCAATACTAGGTTCTCTCATCTTCAGGAAAGTGAACATAAGAGTGTGATAAGCTGAATGGCAAGATATAGATGGCTCTCTCCTGCAAGCGCCTCTTGGCTTTGGGGATGAGGCCTCAGACTCCTGAAGTCATATCCCACCATGATGCTGGGCATGCACCTGTGTCCCGGGCAGTGGTACCTCATTTCAGAAAAGCCTTCCAGCTCTCTCAGGCCATTGGATGGTGGTCCCCGTTCCCAGTCTTGGTCTCGGCTCCTTTCATCTCTCCCCACTCACTCCGTTTTTGCAATTTGGTAATAAAATGTCTCTGGGCTCATGTCACCCTTTCTCCCATTTCCCCATCTGTCTCTTCCTGGCCTGGCGACAGAAGAGCTGTGTCGCCTTTGAGATAGCCATCTAGAGTGAGACCTCCGCATGAGGATTCAATTCCAGAGCCCCCCGCCCTCTTGTCCTGAAAAGAGCTGTCTGCTTTATCAGCCAGCAGCAGCAGCGGCAGCAGGAACACTGATTTTTTTATTCCTTTTCTGGCTTCTGATTAGCTCTAGCAATCCAATTAGCAGAGGAATTTATATCACACGGGCTGAGGTGCCCCTACTCATCACAGCAGCTCAAACCCACTCATAAATTCTGCCAATCTTACATCTGCCTGTGACATGGATTAATTACAGCACCAGGCCTTCGCGAGTAGGTCTGCTGATGAAGGTGCATGTGAATATCAGGATTAAGAAGAGGCAAAAAAGGATGACTTTTGCGTATCACCAAGGTTGCATAAAGGCTGAAGTCACTTTTGTCCCCCATTTGCACCTTTTTCTAAAGAGGCCAAATGGGCCAGAATGGGGCACTAGGGAGGATTCAGAAGTGGCCTAATCATGGCACATTCATTTCTTATGAAACTTTCAGGTTCTTCGAGACTGACTGATTTTCTGCCTCCAGTCCATACATTCCCAAAACAGTTACACTATTTAAAATAGTTCCATGAAGAGAAACGTCACTATCTTCATTGGTATTCCATTCCAGTTGGGTATAATCATAACATTGTCATACCCTTGCATCTATCTACAATTTCATTCCAAATTCACCCTTGCATTCATCAATCTCTAGCATCTATCCATTTATCTAGTGATACTCATTTATATATCAACTATTTATCCTGCTTCTAAGTCATCTATTCATCCGTGTGCATCCTGCTACTCATTTTCTAACCATGTATTGATCTATGAATATCTTTCTATTATCTGTCATCTCCTTGTCTATCCATTTGTGTCTCTATTAATTCATTCGTCTGTATTATCCATCTACCTGCTTTTCTATCTATTCATTAATCTATTCATGTATCTATCCACTCAATCATCTATCATTTGCTTATCAGTTACGAATCCCTTTTTACCTTACTTTGTGCCTTTTGTTAGCTATAATCTTAACAGAATCCTAGATCCACATTCTCAATCATTTTTAAGGTAAATAATGCCCAATTTCCAAATGAACTCTATATTCTTGGTTTTCTGTCCTCCTTCAAAGAGCCTTATGAACTAAGTCACTAGAATCACGTGATTTTTAAATGAATTAAAAATTACAAGGAAACCATTTTATCCTGGATTTCTATAGTATTTTCCTTATTGAATAAAAGTATGCATGTCTAGTCCCTTTTAAACCATGCTTCCCTTAAAAGAGGGGAATTTCAGATAACATCTACCTGTAAAGCTCATTCCATCTGTTGTATCTACCACTGTGGAGACTTTCATGAAAGTAACCCAATTCGAGCGGAGCTTAATTGAGATTACTTTTATCATATATCAAAACAGATATTAACCCTAAAACTATAATGTACTTATACATGTTTGGCCTTCTTCTATTTTCAGGTTGGAGTTGAGGAGCAATTTGGAATCTAAAAATAGATATTTTCCCCCTGATGACTTTTATTCAAAATATATTCAAGTCTGGACCAAACCTTAAGATTCAACACCTTCTGAGCGTGACCTCTAGTCCTTTAGCTCCAATGACAGTGGGTCAAGGAAATCGTCACTGCATTATGGAGATTCTAATAGATACATCACATTTCTGTCTAAGACGGAAACCCCACTTTGTTGCTGTGAGCAGGGAGGGCTGGGGAGCTTGGTTGGACTTTCTCTGTGTTTCCAGAGACTCACTTCCCAAACAGTAGGCCAAGTCAGAATTGTAGATGAGCAGCAGATCTTGTTATCTCTGACAATACTGACCAGCTCTAATATTCTGTTACTTGTAGGTAAGATTATCAGTTAAGAATCTTGAACTGATAAGCAAATGATAGATGATTGAACAGAATGTTCAATCTTGAACAGAAGTCTATAGAGACGATGTCAGTTTGGAGCTGTAGACCTGAAAAAGCAGGCAGGGACCCAAGCCATGATGTCTTCCAAAAACACAAGGGAGAAAGAAACCTGCTGATTCCTTTTCTCCTGTTATTTACACTTACTCTGTCGCCATAGTTTTCTGGATTCCATTGTCATCAGAAATGAGACCACATAATCCCAGGCTTTGGTCTTGGCTTTATCTGTGATGTAACAAGGCTGACTTCTCCATGAGATATAGTAACTCAGTGCCTCAGGCCCACAACATGTTTAAGGGCCCTTGAAAGTGGTTTTCATTTGGTTTTGTTTTTTGAGACAAGGGCTCCCTCTGTCACCCATGCTGGAGTACAGTGGTGCAGTCGTACTCACTGCAGCCTTGACCTCCCAGGCTCAGGCAGTCCTCCCACCTCAGCCTCCCAAGTAGCTGGGACTACAGGCACATGTCACTACACCTGGCTAATGTTTGTATTTTTTGTAGAGATGGGGTTTCAACCATGTTGCCTAGGGTGGTCTAGAACTCCTGACCTCAAATGATCTGCCCACCTAGGCCTCCCAAAGTGCTGGGATTATAGGCATGAGCCACCACGCCTGGCCTTAGTTTCTTTTAAAGTTATTTAAAAAGTAAACTTTTAGGCTGGGCACAGTGACTCATGCTTGTAATTTTAGCACTTTGGGAGGCCAAGGCAGGCAGATACCAGGTCAGGAAATGTAGACCATCCTGGCCAACATGGTGAAACCCTATCTCTACTAAAAATACAAAAGTTAGCCGGATGTGGTGGCATGAGCCTGTTATCCCAGCTACTCAGGACGCTGAGGCAAGAGAATTGCTTGAACCCAGGAGACGGAGGTTGCAGTGAGCTGAGATTTCACCACTGCACTCCAGCCTGGGTAACAGAGTGAGACTCTATCTCAAAAAAAAGTAAACATTTAGTTCAAAGAAAATGTTCTAGCATATAATATCAACATTATTTTTAATTTTAATATTTATCTCTATACCAACACAGTCATAAAATATAGTTTAATAATTTTTAGAAGGGAGGGTGCCTTTGTAGGTAAAAGCACACAGGGTCTGTGAAAGCCATGTGTAATGTGGCTCTGATGTTAACCAGATTACCAATAACTTAGTTGTTACGCTCCAAAAAGCATGATGGCTGAGTAGCTGTATAGGAGCCAGACTACCTGGCTTCGAATCCTGATGGCACTGCTTGCTAAAGTCATTTGTCTTCTCTGGTTCTCAATCTCCTTAGCTTTAAAATGGAGATAATATTAGTGCCTAATACATAGGGAGGTTGTGAAGATTAATGAAGTTATACGTATCAGCTGCTTAGTATAGAGTCTATACATAATGGAGGCTGAATAAAATCTGTTGTAATAATTCTTGTTATTGTTTCAGCTTTGGCTTTTATCTCTCTTTTGAGACAGAATCTTGCTCTGTTGCTCAGGCTGGAGTGCAATAGTGCAATCTCAGCTCACTTCAATCTCTGCCTTCCTGGTTCTAACAAGGCTCAGCCTCCCCAGTAGCTGTGATTACAGGCACGCACCACCACACCTGGCTAATTTGGGGATTTTTAATAGATATGTGGTTTTGCCATGTTGCCCAGTCTGGTCTTGAACTTGTGAGCTCAAGCAATCGGCCTGCCTCCACCTCCCAAAGTGCTGGGATTGTAAACGTGAGTCACTGCGCCCAGCCTAGCTCCAGTGTTTTTGCCTTAAAAGCCTCTCTCTAATCCAGCAGCTATGACCAAATCAATTTGTTTTCCTAAAAAAATTAGATTATCTTTTAGTCACCATGGAAGGAAGAAAAAGGTGGCAATTGAAGTTTCCTCCCTACTCTGAAAATCAGAAAATTTTCTCTCCTGTAAGTAGAAAGTTCTGCACTCTACCTGGAGCCAGTTCTTCATTCTGTATTATAAAACTCCTTTAATAAGTCAGCGTCGTCTCTCCTTGTCGGAGATTTGATTCTTTCCTGACCTAAAACAATCCTGCAAAAATCTTATTAAGAACCACAGGTTAAAAAGAATATTGTCAAAACTTTCTCTCTCCTTTTCTCTCTTTACTTTATTATCTCCTCATTTTTTTTGTCATTTAACTCCAATTATGAGATGCTAAGTGCTTTTGGAAATTCATTGTTAATATCTTCTTACAGTGCTATTAACGTAAATCACGTTTAATAGTGTCCCAGCAAGTGTAAAAGCAATCAAAAATTCAGTACTCACGAATCATTCTGTAATTTCAGCATAAAATGTTAATAGAAATAATATCTAATACCATAAAATATCGGTAAATTCTACTTTAAATATATGTGATGAATTTCTTCACTCTCCTATAGCATTCGTGG